AAGACATGGAGTCAGAGAAGCTCTACCTAATACATAGAAACAAACCCAGGGAGGTTGCCAAAATGAGGAGACAAAGAAACATAGCCCAAATGAAAGAACAGATCAAAACTCCAGAAAAAGAGCTAAATGAAATATAGATAAGCAATCTATCAGATGCAGAGTTCAAAACACTGGTTATAAGGATGCTCAAGGAACTTGGTGAGGACCCCAAAAGCATAAAAAAGATCTTTGAAATATAGAGCAATTTACAGGCAAAAAACAGTAGAGTGGATGAAGCCCAGAATCAAACCTATGATTTGGAACATAAAGAAACAAAAAACAACCAATCAGAACAACAAGAAGAAAAAAGAACAAAAAAGGGGGATAGTAGGATTATATAAGCTGCCTCTGGGACAACTTCAAGAGGCCCAACATTTGCATCATAAGGGTGCCTGAGGGAGAAGAAAAAGAATAAGAAATTGGAAATCTATTTGAAAAAATAGTGAAAGAAAACTTCCCTAATTTGGAGAAGGAAATAGACATGCAAGTCCAGGAAGCACAGAGGGTCCCAAAAAAGATGGATGCAAAGAGGCCCACTCCAAGACACACCATAGTTAAAATGCCAAAGGTTAAAGATAAAGAGAGAATCTTAAAAGCAGAAAGAGCAAAGAAATTAGTTATCTACAGGGGGATTCCCATAAGACTGTTGGCTGATTTCTCAAAACAAACTTTGCAGTCTAGAATGGACTGGCAAAAAATATTCAAAATCATGAAAAGTGGGGACCTACCGCCAAGATTGCTCTACCTTGCAAAGATATCATTTAGAATTGTAGGGCAGATAAAGGGCTTCGCAGACAAGAAAATACTAAAGGGGTTCATCATCACCAAACCATTGTTATAGGAAATGGTAAAGGGACTTACTTGAGAAAAAGAAGAAGATGAAAACCATGAACAATAAGATGGCAATAAATGCATATCTATCAACAGTTGCATCTAAAAATTAAACTAAGCAAACAAGAAGAACAGAGATAGAATCATGGATACAGAGAGCAGTTTTTGATGTTTGCCCAATTGGAGGGGGCTGTGGGGGAATGAGTGAAAAGTTAAGCGGATTAAGAAGTACAAATAGGTAGTTACAGAATAGCCGTGGGGATGAAAAGTACAGGATAGGAAATGGAGTAGCCAAAGAACTTAAATGCGTGACCCACACACATGAACAATGGTGGGCAGAATTGCCTGAGGGAATGGGGGGTGCTGGGTGGAGGAGGGCAAAGTGGGGTATGTCAGGACAACTGTAATAGCATATTTAATAAAATATAATTTAAAAAATTTGATGCAGAAAAATGTAGCACCATAAAACAAACAAAGGCTAATGCACAATGGAAAAGAGGATTGTCTTCCAGGAATTCAAGTGTTATAATCTCAGTAACTCTGTCAGCACAATCAATTATATAAATTAATGAAAAAGAGAAAATATATCAAAGATGCTAACTAAAAATGCTATTTCTAAGATTCAACAGTTATTCATAATGAAGATTCTTGAGTAAAATAGAAATTGAAGGAAACGAAACACAATGAAAATCTCCACAAGTGTTGGAAATGGAAAAAGCCTACAAGTGTTGAAAATCATAAACTTTTAAAATAAAAACCAGAATCTATCAAGAATGTTAACTGTTATTATTTAATATTAAAGATTAATCTGAAGGATCCAGTGAGTAACTGAGAAGATTAAAAAATGAAATAATCATTACAAATACAGAAAAATAGAACACTTTTGTTGATATTATATAACAAGGAAGTCATGGAAATTAGTAAAAACAAAGTTTGGAAACAAAATATATATACACATTTTAATAGCAATAAACACTTTGAATTGCTAATGGAAAAATACTTTATTCACAATAGCAAAAGAAAAACATAATACTTATGTTAAAATAAATTTATCAAGAAATGTACAAGACATATCAGAAAAAACAACTATAAAAATGTTACTAAAAGCAACTGATTAAGATTTAAATGCATGAAAATAATTGTAAAAATATGTCTCTTAAAATTTTATTGATTATATAAATCAATCAAATCCCATCTCTGTGTGTATGTGTATATATACGAGGGGACCCCCTAAAAAAATCCAAAATTATCTTTTGGAGGTCGGGACCCCTTGTAGTACAGGCTTCCCCCAGTAGGTGAGTGTTCTAGGAACCCATCTGTATCAGTGCACCAGCTGGCGTTGTTGTGAGAGGCTATGATCAGCTTCAGTGCATTTTTTTGAAGACTTTTTCAGCACATTTGCCCATTTCATGGCGTGTATTTATGAGCACACCTGTCCACACCGCGATTAAGTGTTTAGCGATTTTTGACCCAAACTGGCAAGCCCCCCATGCTCTATCCTTTCTATTTATTCTGATCTTTCCTCGAGTGACTTTTTTTTTTGTTTGTTTCCCTGGATGAAAAATATTCTCAAAGAGAAATATCTTGCTGATGTGGAAGAGGTGAAACAAAAAACATCAGAAGCACTAAAAGGCATCAAAATCGATGAGATAAAAAACTGTTTTGAGTAGTGGAAAAAACGTCTTGATAGGTGTATGGAATCAAATAGAGAGTACTTTGAAAGTGACTGAAGTTTGAACATGTAAGTATAAATACACATTTTATAAATAAATCAATCACTTTTTTTGGGTGTCTCCCTTTTTTATACACTCTTATTTTGGGTCATTGTGTGTGTGTGTATATATATATGTTTGCATACAATTTTATGAACATAGTTAAGAATGAGGATGATATACTTTAATGAAGATGACATCATTTGTCTGGGGAGAGTAAGTGGAGTAAAGATGGGAATTTGAAAGGAAGAAGAGAGGAGAAAGGAAAAAGGAAGCAAACCAAAAGGAAAGATATTAAATTCCATGTATGTCATTTAATTTGGAAACTATATAAATTAAACATGTATACACAATTAGAAAATTTTAAAAATTAATGGGATTTGATAATGTGAAGGTTACTGATGATCTTATTGAGAGCAGTTTTAGTTAAATGGGAGCAAAGAATGAAGTTTCTATTAAAGCAATTTGTAAAATAAGTAAGTAGTAACATAGCAGGCTACAATAAACTGAAACTTTTCCAAAATAATACTAGTAAAAACAAACCTAAAAAATCGAGTATAAATAATAAACAATGGTGAGCAAAAAAAAAAAAAAAAAAAAAAAATGGATAAGGAGAATCACTACATGTTATGATTCTGAGGCAAAGATAGTCTTTGTATATTGGGCCCCCAAGCTGTTTATTCACAGGAGGCTGACTCATTAGCTCAAAAGCCCGCTGGCACCAAACCCAAATTTTACACATCCAGTTGTTTTAACCATAGCCTAAACAAGCAGATTTTTAGTCATTTAGAGCTTGCTTTCTTTACATAAATTGTGAAAAATGTCGAATAACTGCTTGCCACAGATAAAATGAACCTTGGGCTATGAAGATCCTAAGCTGCATCTAGCTACCCTGTGGAATTCTCTGACCTGGAGACTCCCTGCCACGCTGCCGCTTGACATCGTACGGACATAAGCCCTCTAGGCACAAACCCCTCTCATGCCTCTCTACCCCAGGGGTCCCCTTGCCCTCTTCCCCTTCTGGATGGTCGCCCCCATGACTTTAGGCCTTTGGATGGTCTTCCGCTGTTAGGGCCTTCCCCAGGGTACAGACCTGGCAATGTATTACCCAAATAAAGCTTGTGTGCTAGTGCCACCTCATGGCCATTTATTTTTCCCAGATCAGTCCCGAAATGTTCCAAATTATCCCCTTATAATACGTAATAATAAAAATAAAAATTCACTAAGAAGATACACTGATCCAAAAATTGTAGATGTCTAAAAATGTATCCTTCAAATAAATAAATCCAAATTAAATTACAGTAAAAATTCCATTTAGGATAAATTATAAAGATTTAAAAAAAAAAAGGTTGCAATTCAATTCCAATACAAAATGGAAGCCGAGAGGAATATCTTAGGCACCCAAGTGATCCACTAGGGGATCTCCAGGTAACCTCTTGTTCAATGCTGATGGCTTGATTTAAAGTAGACAAGTGTAGTAGCCGTGGTTGAGCATGGCTTCCAACACTCAGTGGGAGAGGAATGGAGCTGAGGGTGACAGGAATGTAGAACAAGGTAGCACAGGGATAGTAGAGGAGGGAGATAATCAGCTGAGGGTGCAAGGCCAGCTGCCGAGCTAAGTGGCTGCAGTTCATTCTACTAGCGTTCCTTCATCAATTTTCCCACCAAAAGAAACCAACCAGAATTCTGGAGGAGCTTTTCCTACATGCGGTGAAATCATATGGAGCAATAGACCAACTGAGGAGTGGACAACAGTGTACTCTACGGTACGTGCATGACTGAGGCATGCATTCCCTTGCCAGCTTCAACTATCTCTGTTGAGGGTTTGCAGCCAAATTCCTTTGTAGTACTTGCCCTCAAACAAAAGGAACTATGTAGCCCAAATTACACTCCCTCTTGAGGACAGAACACATCCAGAGACTCCTATATAAGAGTTTATATTAATTGTTGTCAATAGACTTTTAAGTTACATGTTGTCAAGGAAAGAAAAAAACTTGGTAGAGATGAGCTGATATAGACTGGAACTCTTTGGTAAGTGCTGGTAAGCGGACAGGAAATACGATGTGGTCAGTGAGGGCCATTGACGTTCAGACGGTTATGTGAGCAAAAAGCAACGAGAGAGGTACTTACTTAGTATGTATCAGGACAGCAATTTAGCCTGACGGATTACTTTAAACTCTCCTGGGTATTTACAGATTAATTTTGTTCTCAAAATATGCAAATACTAAGAGGACATTCTATTTTATATATTTTTTTTATTAAATTAACTTTGCAATAAAAAATGATAGAAAAGCTCTGTAATCAAATCACATATTTATTAAATCCTTGGTTCTATGTATTCTTTACATATTTGTACCTTTTTTCTCTCACGTAAGATAAATCATTAAAAAAAGCAGGCAGGTGGTGACAAATGAACTTTTAAGGAAGTTCTAAGCTTGTTAATTCCAGTTTTATTTTGTTTGGATCACATGGCGTTTAAGTAATTTGGGCCCCAGTATGTTAATAATTAGAGCTCCATTTGGGGCTGTAATCAAGATGGCCACAAATGCCGTTGTCATCACATCCATCGAATATGGTTCCAAGTCGGGGGCGCTTGCCTTTGCTGTTTCTAGCGCCAGCGGACCTAATACAGCCTGCATTTCGGTGGGGGTGGGTGAGGGAATATGAAGCATAATGAAAAATGTTAAAGTTAACGTTTAATAAAAGCAAATGGCTCTGTTAAAATACACAAAACCTAGTACTAGTCCAGTGATTTTCAACAGGTGTGCTACAAGAATTTTTAAAACAGGCAATACCTGACTGTTTAGCCGGGGCACTGACCTCTTTTTCCTGAGGTTGTCAAATTAAAAAAGTGACAACAGCCAACACAACAATAGGAGCCCGGTGTGAATGAATCAAAATCATACCTATTTTTTTTGTCAGATCGGCAAAAAAATATAATATATGCGTATATTTGGTGTGCTGCAGAATTTTAGTGATTAGTTTATGTGGGCCATGAGATTAAAAAGGTTGAAATTAGCTGTTCAAGCCAATTAGAAAAGAAGCAAGACTTGAAGTGCCAAAGGATTTTCATGAGTTACTAATTCTATATTCTTCCTAGCAAATATATCTGGAGGTGAGTCAAATAGTGACATATCAGTGTGCAGACATTTGGGGGCTGGTTTTGTATTTTTGTTATCTAAGCTTTCTCCTGTTTGTTTGTATGTGTATATATATATATATATAATCTCTCTATATATCTATATCTAAAATAATAAATATATAATTATTATATAGATATATATAAATAAAATTTTAAATATATGTATATGTCTTGCATTGCTCTCAGAACCTCAAGTTTTTGTTGAAGCAGTGTGTGGCTTATTTGCTGTTACCAACCACTTGGTTCTTGGCTGCAACAAGACGAATCAAAGTACTAAAGTTTCTTATGGTTCATTAGGACTTTGATGATCAATTTCTCCTTGTTCTTCCTACTTGGGAGGCAGTGTGATACAGTAAAACTGACAAGGAGTTTGGAATCTACAAACTGGGCACTGAGATTACAAACTAACTTACCTAAGGTTATAGGCAAGTAACGTGGTATTCAAAACAGGTAGTCTGGCCCCTGAGACCTGCTTTCTAACCATGACACATAGAGAATTTTGTTGTATGGAAGCTCAGAAACTTTTGTTTTGTAATAACAATGGAGAAAAGAATCTCAGGGAATCAAGACATTATGCTGCCAGGTGAAAAAGTCTAACAATAAGCAGTAATACCTTCTTTAGGAAGAGGGAATATCATTGAATTAGAGGACAAAACTACATCCTTCACACATTCACTCTTGTAGCCATGCAATGGTTATTTTACTGTGTACTTCTTGCTTCCTGGGGACTGTGCTACATGCTAGGGGAAAACAAGGAGGAAAAAAACCAACCCCGAGATGGTTCTATCCTTTTTGTGTAATTGAATGGGAAGAGTCAGTCAATAATCTAATAGTCATACAAAATAAATGCATAATTAATAATAATACACGTGCATTCATGTGTGGTAGAGTGGGTGGAAGGTGTAGAAAAGATACATCTTAAAAAGAATCAATGTGTCTCTACTTTAAAATCATAATATTTAGCTCCATAATATTCAGCAAAATGTAAAAATTCTAATTTTCAGATATATTCCTATTTTATATTTTGGGAAAACAGGAAAATGTTTTCATAAGTTAAGGAAGTATCTATCGTTAAAATTATACTTTTCAATTTCAGAAGAATTGATTTTAAAACTGAGATTTTAAAAGATTATATAAGTTTTAATGAGTAGTTATGATCAATCAAGCATTTTAAAAGTAAGGCTAAAAGCCTGTATTTTGTGTTTGGACAAACATTTGTCATTTAGAATTTTTTAAAATCAACATTAAAATTATTAGAATTACTTAATATGTTCTTACCTGGACTGTAGCTTTGGGCATCCATGCTAGAGCAATAAATATTTTCTCCTTAAAATTAAAACCAGCAAAAGACATCAATAGAAATGTAAAAGAAATTCGAACCAATAATGCCAAACTCATGGTAGCAACACAAATGCCTACAACAGACAAAAACAAACATAAATAGCACAATACTTGGGCAGAAGTGGTTCTTTATGTCTGGAGATATGATTTGTAAAAGTGTTGAAAACATTTTAAGGCTATTACCTCTTTCTGTCTTCATTTTTTAAGTAAAAATAACAACCATAAAAATGCAAAAATGATTGAGAACTTGATGTAAAGTGCAAGAGATTATCTGATGGCGGAAGTACCATGAAAAATATGATAAATTACATTTAATTCTGAGCTGATAGACTTTGAACTTTTATTATAAATAAAAGTATTCAGAAGGTGCTAACAGTAGCTAATATTTCTCCTCAGAAAAGATGCCAATCTGTACTTCCTCAGGTTACTCAGGGGAGAAAACGGGCTGTTTTTGGTAACAAAGAACACACAGGGGAAAGAAGAGCAAATGTATGTTAATGTTTCAACATGAGTTTCTGAAGAAGGTCCTTGTGGCATTCGAAGACATACTGTACATAAAAATTATTCATAATTTTCTTAAATATTTCCAACTCTTACATTTTTCATGCCAGTAATCATTCTTACCAATAGCATTTGACTTAAGAGATGCAACAGATACCTCCAATCCAACCAAACCAAAAAGAAGGGGTTGAAAAACATCCCATGCAATTGTAATTATTTCTTGGACTCCAATCTGTAGAAAGGAGTAATACATTTTTAGTTATTGTGGCACTTTAAAAATAACTGCATTTCAGAAATTTAAAGTCTATTTTAATGCATAAAATTCAGATATTTTATTTGTAGGAGAAATCTTAAAACAATAAAAATTAAAAGTTGGTTAATTCTTTTACTCAAACTCTTAGGTGGAATTTGACTAAAAGAAATCCACAAAGCTATAAAATAAAAATATTTGGCGCTTTTTTTATGAAACAACTAAAGCCTTTGGAGACATGTTCTGATGGTTAAGCAAGAAATCTAGCTTTTGTAGGGTAACGGAACAAAGACAACTACATCATGCCCGATGACAACATACTCAAGATCACGCAAACACTCCGCTAACCATCATCTTGGAATCCAGTCCCATAAAAGTGAACCCTGATAAATTGCAACTGCTAGGAGAAAAATTTTTGCTAATCTGTTAGGCTGTTTTGAAAGAATCCATTTTGAAAACTTCAAAGTTATTTTTTCCTTAAAACCAAAGCAAAACATATAGATTCTTACTAGGTTACCTGCTCAGCTTCCCTTTCTGGAAACAGATCTCTCCCAGTACTACCTCCCCGTGATGTGGTCACACACAGCAAAGCCCCTGTGGACATAACAGTGCTCTGGCTCTTCTCCAGGAACTTGGATGAAGAGATTTTAGCTTAACCTGGGTTTATCTATTTAAATAGAAGATACACAAAACTTTGATATCCTTTGTTTGGGGCATATTCCTTTTATGTGTGGCGTTCTGATTGCCATTTATAAAAATGACATTTAAAAGAGGAAAAAACAAAGAAAAAACAGTATTGTTCTCCCTTGTTATAGCATACTATCCTATTTGTTACTTTTAATCTTTAAAGTCCATTTTTTTACTGTCTGATTTCCTTTATCATATAGAAGAGAATTCTAGTCATTTTAATTTTATTTATCTAATTATAATTTAATAACCATTTAATTCCATTTACAATTATGATTTTATTGGAATACTAAACACAAAGCCAGTATAATTTTGGGTAGGGGACGTCTCGAGCTGATTCTAAAATTTATCTGAGAGAGAATATGGGTAAGAAAGCCAAAAAATACTTTAAAAATAAGTACAAAGACAGGAAATCTTCTATATTAGATTTTGAGACATAAAACTATGACTTACGGTTCAAGATAGACTTAAAGTAGAAGATCTACAGGAATAGACAAGTCAGATTAGATGCCAGAAATGAACTTAGATATATGTGAGGGTATAGGTCATGTGAAAAGAAGCACTTAAAGGTCACTGAATAATTAATGGTTAGTCAATAAATAATTTGGTCAAAATTGACTATTTAATTTATATCTACTTATATGTATATAGATCTATTATATATGTATACATGTATGTCTATGAATACATATATAAACACACACACATACACATCCTTATCTCACAGCATTCACAGAAATAAATTCCGATGGATTAAAGAACTAAATGCAAAATCAAGACAAAAACTACTAAAGTTTTAGATGATAATATAGAAGATATTATAATGTTTATAACCTTATAATCTTGAATAAAAAAATTCTTGCTTAAATAAGATACTGAATCCAAAATTAAAAAGGAAAACCTGACTGGTTTGACTATAGGAAATTTTACTTTTAGACAAAAGACATCATAAACAAAGTTTTTACAATACTGTGATTATATTCCCTGTGCTATACTTTACATCACTGCAACTTGTTTATTTCATAATTGGATATTTGTACCTCTTATTGTCTTTCATCTTTTTCACCCATTTCCCTTCCCCACTCCTCTATGACAACTCTCAGTTTGTTCTCTATATCTGTGAATCTGTTTTTGTTTTACCTTGTTTGTTTTGTTTTTTATTTTTATTTTAAAAACTTTTATTTATTTATTTTTAGAGAGAGGGGAAGGGAAGGAGAAAGAGAGGGAGAGAAACATCTATGTGAGAGAGAAGCACCCACTAGTTGTCTCTCATATGCACCCTGACTGGGGACAGAACCCACAACCCAGGCATATGTCCTGACTGGGAATTGAGCTGGCAACATTTCAGTTTGTAGGATGACATATAACCAACTGAGCCATACTGGTTAGGGCTGTTTTGTTTTTATATTACACATATAAATAAAAGAATACAGTATTTGTCTTTCTAGGACTTATTTCACTTAGCTAAGTACCCCCTACAAACATCTATGTTGTTGCAAATGACAAGATTTTGTTCTTTTTTATGGCTGAGTAATATTTCACAGACAATGGTATAGAGTTTTTACCCACTGATGGGTTGAGGTATTAGGGATTCTCCTACACTGTTGATAGTAGATAGTGTAAACATAAATAAAACTTTTGAATGGACAATTTGGCAGTACACATCAAAATAGAAACATTTCTAAATTCAGCAATTCCATTTCTAGGAATATATTCCAACAGAAGAGCTGTACATTTGCAAAAAGACACATGAAGAAGACTGTTCATGGCAGCACTGTTTATAATAACAAAAAATAAAAATGATCTAAATGTCTATAAATAGTAGACTGATTAGAGGAAATGATTAATTCTTGGAAGGGGCATTAAATATTTGGGAGGGGTGGGGAAAAGCAGTCTTTTACAATTCATTCTATATGTGGACCTTCTGTATTGTTTAATCTTTTAAGAGCATGTTTTCATGTATTAATTGCATAACTAAAATTTCAATTAAGAACACAAATCAATAAAATTATATAATCATATTACATAAAACTTGGGGAAAAATAGGCCTGATGTAATTACTCAACTCCTGAGTGTGTTTTTGTGCATGTGCAGGTCTTTTTCCTAAATACTGTATTTTCTTTATTGATTGGTATACTTTTTCAAACATACAACCTTCTATAACATCTTCCAACTAGAATGAGATTTCCTAAATGTCCATTTTAATGTAAAAAATGCAGTGATTTTATCATTAAAAATGGTGTGTTAAAAATATTTACCTTTCCATTGGACCAATTCATTCCTCCAATGACAGTCAGCATTAGTGTGCATAATCCTCCAGCTCCATGTATACCAAGATGACTACTGCCTAAGACAGCAGTAACACACATACTAAAAATGAGGACTGCTCTCTTCAATGGAAGATGAGTCTACAATTAGATAAATTTTTACAAATTTATTTACATTAAATATATAATATAATACTTACATTATCTATCATGTACTATTGACCTTTTGATACCATGTCTCTATATGTTATATTAAATAATGTCTAAAAATTTGACCTTCTTCCTAAATAGTTTAGTAGACTTTGTAACAAGTGGTGAAATTTGTGGTTATTAAGTTTCATCTTCCACATCTCTGATACTGACATCAATAAAGTGGTTAAAATATTTTAACTTGTCAGAGGAATAGTGGTGTGAGACATCCTTGGTCTCTTCCCTTGAAGTATGAACAGCTATAACTCAACAAACTATTCACTGCTCAATCCCCAAACTTGCCTGAGAGATGGTGAATTGAGACATCTAAGGCAGGTAGGTGGGAACAAAGGGAGGATGTGAGAAGGGAGAAAGATTGAGATGAGCCATGAACATAGTCCTGCAGCTGGAGCAAGTAGGGATGTCACTGCAGGACTCAAACTGGAGAGGGGAGGAATCTGGTTGTGGCTGGCACTCCCTTCAGGTAGGAGGAGCAAAGAGATTCAGTGGGCAAACCTTCAGGAGTGGGCAGTACCAGTTGTAGCTAAACACAGAGACCTGGACAAGAACACAGCAAGGGAGTGTGGCAACATTCCGGACACAGATCTAGGACAGAGAAACAAAGCCATGGAGACCTGCTGCTTCATAGCCTCCCAAAGGTTGCTTCCCTTCACCCTTGGTGTGGGGTTGCAGAGCACAGATCTGCAAACCTGACAACTGGTACTGCAGAATTGCCTATTTCTCTGAGCAAAGAGTACATTCTGTGACCAGTCCCTGGGTCAGTGCTCAGAGGGTATGCCATGAGATCTGATATTACCATTACCAGGAGGGCAAAACAAAGAAGCTGGCTGGTTCCCCCAGCCCTTCCAACCACCAAACATCGCAGCTACACTGACGGCAGCATCTGGCTGTGAAGGACAGCACTGGGATTTCACAGAGCTAAAAACTTATGATTCAGCACCACTTATACAAAGACTTCTTATCAATCTACTTGAGAAGTGCTAGATGCTTAGACAGAGAAGGAATCCATCAAATACCATGTATAACCAAGGTAGCAAGGCAGCTAGGAAAGAAAATTTTAAAAATCTCCAGAAAACAAACTTAAAGGCATGAAAATATATGACACAAATGACAGAAAATTCAAGATTACTGTTCTAAAAATACTCAGTGAGATGTTTGGAAATACAATTTAATGTGCTCAGAAGACCAATGAACGAAAGGAGTATTTACCAAAGAGACTGAAACTTTATAAAAGACCCAAACAGAAATTTTGGAGATGAAAAATCCTTAAAAGAGATTGAGAATGAACCAGTTAGCATAGGAAACAGTAAGCCATATAGAGAAATGGATTAGTGATATCAAAGATAGAAGTCTAGAAATGATGCAGAGTAAAGGAGAGATTTGAGCATAAAAAAAAATGAAATAACTTTATGAGAACTATCTAATTCCATCAGAAAGAGCATTATAAGAAAACAGGCATACCAGCCCTGGTTGGTGTGGCTTAGTGGATTGAGTGCCAGCCTGTGAATCAAAGGGTCACTGGTTCAATTCCCAGTTGGGGCACATGCCTGAGTTGCAGGCCAGGGCCCCAGTAGGGGGAGCACAAGATGCAACCACACATTGATGTTTCTCTCCTTCTCTTTCTCCCTACCTTCCCCTCTCTAAAAATAAATAAAATCTAAAAAAAAAAAAAAAAAAAAAAAAAAAAGAATAATAGGCATACCAGAAGAAGAGAGAAAGAAGGGAATGGAGAGCCTATTCATACAAATAATTGATGAGAACTTCTCAAACCCATGGAAAGAACTAGTCCTCAAGTCTAAGAATCAAACAGAATACCTAGTTACCTCAATTCAAAGAGGTCTTCTCCAAGGCACATTTTTATTAAAACTGTCAAATATTAATTGACAAAGAAACAATTCTCAAGGCAACAAGTGAAAAGAAGAAAGTAATCTATAAAGAAAAGCCCATCAAGTTATCATAAGACTTCTCAGCAGAAACTCTACAAGCCAGAAGAGAGTGGAACCAAGTATTCCAATTACTGAAAAATATTATCCAAGAAAAATATATCCAGCAAAGTTATTCTTTAAATATGAAGGAGAAATAAAGACCAGAAGCTGAGGGAATTTAGCACTAGAAGACATTCATTGCAGGAAATACTCAAGGAAGATTTTCTCTCTGAAACAAAAAACAAAGGTCACAAATCTATGAATAAGATCACCAACAAACTTATAGCAGAAATAGAGGGATAATTTGTGACAACAAAACCTAAAAAGGGATTGGGTAAAAGTTTTAATTTACAAAGGAGCAGGGACATCAGATGCATTCAAAAGAAAAAGGACTACTGTATATATGAAAATTTCTTTCCTATAAACCTAATGGTAATCATATAAAAGCCCCCCCCCAAAACAGAGATACATATTTAAAAAAAGGAAACAGAGGAAAGAAATATGGAATACCACCAAACAAAAACAACAAACTGAAACACAAAGGAAAAGGACCAATGGAGTCATAGAGCTACCAGGAAACAAAAGATAAAATGGCTATAGGAAATCATCACATGTCAATAATTACTCTAAATATAAATGGACAGAATTCACCAATAAAGAGGCACAGAGTAGGAGACTGAATAAAAAAACACAAGCCAACTATATGCTGCCTTCAGGAGACACAAAGTGAAAAAGTTAGACTCAAAGTGAAAGGGTGGAAAATGATTTTCTAAGAAAATAGCATCCACTGAAAAGCAGGTGCAGCCATACTAATATCTGACAAACTAGATCTCAAGATAATAACAGTAACAAGTAAAAAAATATGGACATTTTATAATGATAAAGGGGACACTACATCAAGAAGACACAACTCTTCTTATTATATATCCACTCTGCCCCAGCTGGGTGTCTCAGTTGGTTAGAGCATTGTCCCATGCACCAAAAAGCTTGTGAGTTTGATTCCCAGTCACAGCACATGCCTAGGTTGAGGGTTTAGTCCCCAGTTGGGGTGTGTATGGGAGGCAATTGATCCATGTTTCTTTCTCACATTGATGTTTCTCTTTCTCTCTCCCTTCCTCTCCCTATAAAATCAATAAACATATCCTCAGGTGAGGATTAAATATATATACATATATATGTGTATACAAATACACACTCAATCAGAGCACTGAAATGTATAAGGCAACTACTATCAGAACTAAAGAGAGAAACAGACAAAAACACAATCATAGGTGATGACCTTAATAGTTCATTCACAGCTCTAGATAGATCATCCAAACAGAAGAAAATCAATAAAGAAATATTGGCCTTAAATAATACAGTAGACAAAATGAAAACAGTTGACATCTACAGAGTCCCCCATCCCAGAATATCACATAATACATTCTTCTTCAGTGCACATGGAACACCTCAAGGATAGAACATACATTGGGTCACAAAACTAGCCTCAACAAATCCTCTGACCACAATATTTGAATTAGAAATCAACTGCAAAAAAGATTTAAAGAAACATACAATATGTAGAGACCAAATAACATATTACTAAAAAAAGACTGGGTCAAAGAAGAAATAAAAAGTGAGACCAAAAATATACAGAGACAAATGAGAATGGCAATACAACATATTAAAACTTCTGGGATCCAGTGATAAGAGGGAAGTTCTTATCATTACAGGCCTATTTCAAGAAATAAGAGAAATTCCAAGTAAACAACCTAACATTACATCTTAAAGAACTAGAAAAAAAAGAACAAAAGCAACCCAAACTTAGTAGAAGAAAAGAAATAAAAATTAGAGCAGAACTGAATGAAATGGAGAACAAAATACTACACAAAAAATGTAATACAACAAGAAGCAGATTATTTGAAAAGATAATAAATTGACACACCCCTGGCTAGACTCACTAAGGAAAAAAAGAAAAGACTCATATAAAAAGTCAGAAATGAAAGAGGGTAAGTTACCACAGACACCACAGATATATAAAAGATCATATTTGAATATTATGAAAGACTGTATGCCACCAAATTCAATAACCTAGAAGAAATGAACAAGTCCCTAGAAATATATAACCTTTTAAGACTGAATCATGAAGAATTGGAAGATATAAATAGATCAATAAACAGCGAAGAAATTGAAACAACCATCAAAAACCTCCAAAATAAAAGTTCAGGGCCACATGTGAATTACATCAAACATTCAATGAAGACTTGATATCTATCCTTCCAAACACTTACCAAAAACTGAAGAAGAGGAAATACTTCTTAACACATTTTATGAAGCCAACATAACCTTGATACCAAAACCTGGCAAGGATAACACACAAAAAGAAAACTGCAGGCCTATATCTCTGATGAATACAAATGCAAAAAATCCTAAACAAAATACTAGTAAATTAAATACAATAATATTTGAAAAAAATAATACATCACAATCAAGTGGGATTCATTCCAGGGACCTAAGCATAGTTCAACATATGTAACTTGATCAGAGTAATATACTACATTAAAAAAACAACGGGTAAAATTTATATTATTTTATTAATAGATGCAAAAAAAGCATTTAATAGGATACAAAATCCATTTATGATTTAAACACTCAATAGAATAGGTATGGAAGGAAAATACCTCAACATAATAAAGACCATATATGACAAACCTTCAGTTAATATCATACTCAATGGTGAAACACTCAAAGCTTTTTGTCTAAAATCAGAAACAAGTCAAGGATGTCCACTCTCCCCATTCTTATTCCACACCATTCTAGAATTTCTAGCCAGAGAAATCTGGTAACAGAAAGACATAAAAAGCATCTAAATTGGGAAAGAAGATGTAAAAGTGTCACTTTTTGCAGATGACATGATTCTGTGTATAGAAAACGCTAAAGACTCCACCAATAACCTATTAGAAACAATAAAAAAATCCAGTAAATTTGCAGGATACACAATCTATGTACAAAAATCCACTGCTTTCCTATATACTAATAATGAAACTTCAGAAAAAGAAATTAAAAAGCAATTCCTTTTGCAATTGCAACCAAAGAAGAAAATACCTAGAAGAAAATAAACTTAACAAAGGATATGAAAGACCTATACACTGAACTACAAATCATTATTAAAAGAGATTGAAAAAGATACCATGAAATGAAAAGATATTCTGCATTCATGGATTGAAAGAATCAACATAATTAAAATGTCCATATTACTGAAAGAAATATACAGATTTAATGCAATCTAAATCAAAATTCCAATGTCATATTTTAAAGAAGTAGAACAAAATATCATCAGATTTTTATGGAAACACAGAAGACCCCACATAGCTAAAGCAATCCTGAGAAAAAAAGAACAAAGCCAGAGACATCACACTACCTGACTTCAAATTATACTACAGAGCTACGAAAATCAAATCAGCATGAAACTGGCAGAAAAACACATACACTGACCACTGGAACAGGATTGAGAGCCCAGACATAAAACCATATGTATATGAGCAAATGATTTTTGACAAAGGAGCCAATAACACACAATGGAGAAAAGAAAGCCTCTTCAATAAATGGTGCTGGGAAAATTGGAAAGCTGCATGCAAAACAATGAAACTAGATTGCAGTTTCAAAATGAGTGAAAGACCTAAATATAAGATATGAAACATTATATTTCATAAAAGGGAACATAGGTACTAAACTTATGGACCTTCATTGTAGAGAATGTTTCATGAATTTGAGCCCAAAGGCAGAGGAAATAAAGGTAAAAATATATGAATGGGCCCTGGCTGGTGTGGCTCTGGGCCTGGGAACTGAAGGTCTCTAGTTCAATTCCTAGTCAGGGCACAGGTCTGGGTTGTGGGCCAGGTCCCCAGCTGGGAGGATGCGGGAGACAACTGATCAATGTATCTCTCACACATTGATGTTTCTCTCCTTCTCTTTCTTCCTCCATCCTCCCCTCTAAAAATAAATAAATGTAATTAAAAACAATAAATGAATGGGGCTATATCAAATCAAAAAACTTCTTCACAGCAGAAAAGAAACCAACAACAAAACAAAAAGCAACTAAATGAGAGATGATATTTGCAAATAAAGGGTCAATATTGAACATATACAAAAAACTTATACAACTCAAAACCAAACAAATAAACAATCCAATTAAAAAAAGGGCAGAAGACCAGAACAGACACTTTTCCTAAGAAGACATACAAATGGCCAACAGATATATGAAAAGATACTCAACTCTACTAAATATTAAGGAAATGCAAATCAAAGCTACAACGAGCTACCACCTCACACATGTTAGAATGACTTATCAACAAGACAGGCAATAACAAATGTTGGAGAGGTTGTGGAGAAAAACAAACCCTTATTCACTGCTGGTGGGAATGTAACCTGGACAGCCACTGTGGACAATAGTATGGTGGTTCCTCAAAAAATTAAGAACAGAGTATGACCCAGCAATCCCTCTTCTGGGTATCTACCTGAAAAAGTCAAAAACATTTATTTGAAAAGATATATGCACCCCTGTGTTCATTGCAGCATTATTCATGGTGGCCAAGACATGGAGAGAACCCAAGTGTCCTGTGATAGAGGATTAGATAAAAAGATGTGGTACGTATATACTATGAAATGCTACTCAGACATAAGAAAAGGTGAAATAATGCCATTTATGAGAACATGAGAATATTATGCTAAACAAAATGTTAGTCAGAAAATGCTAAGAACCATAATATTTTACTCATATGTGGGATGTAAAACTGAAAATTATAGACACAGACAATAGTATAGTGGTTACCAGAGGGAAGGGTTGTAGGTGGGGTAGTAAGGGTAAAGGGAGCTGATATATGGTGATGGAAGATGATTTGACTTTGGGTGGTGGGCACACAATGCGATATACAGATCATGTATCACAGAATGTACACTTAAAATCTGTATGACCCTATTAGCCAGTGTCACTCCAATAAATTTATTGATAAAAGAAAACACCAAAACTCCCCCACAAATATAACTTTAATAACCTCAGCTTTTCCGTAAATCTAAATGGTTCTAAAAAAGTCTTATAAAAATAAAAAAATACTTTAACTGTAAATGAAGAAAAAACAAAAAGAGACCAGTATAACTTGTAGTTCTATATAACATATATTATGAATTGTTAAAAATAAATTTCTGAATATCTCATTAGCTATGACAATTGTCACAGGCAAATCAAGGTGGAATTACATTTCAGAAATACAAGTGTAATGGCACATTCTTCAGGGCAGGAAAGGGCTGAGTTTAACAGTGTTACCTTAGTCAAAGGGAGTGAATTTAACTCAGAAAATATGCAGAGATAAATGGGAATCTACCTCCCCTAAAATGTTTAAGGAAAAGTGTGAGGTAAAAGAGATTAGAAAAAATTGTCAGAAGTCAAAAGGCAATTCAGTGAAGAAAGGTGTGGTGTGGAATGGATATGGTACTCTGAATTAAGTATACTTTTCTTTTTAAGTATTCATTGTAAATTTATTAAGCTTTACTTAACCAACAGCATAGTAAAAAGGTATGTTATCTCTGTTCATAGCAGAACAGGTTACAAAATTTTCTATTAATATATTTTATTTTAAATATATTTAGTCAGTACATAATCCTTTATAGAAGTTGTATATATGTATATTCTTTCCTCTCAAAACCTTCATTACATTTATACAATTTACACAGCGCTCCATAAAAATTTTTTCTAATATTCCTTATTTGCCCAATGTAAAAGTAAAGACTTCAGTCAGGGCATTGACTCATATCAATCACAGCTGTGCTCAGTTTTAAACAGAGCAGGCATTGGAGGCTACTTTTGGGAAAAGATAATGAACATCAAATTTAATATTTCATGGATCTTCTAAATGTTCAAATTTGTGAAAGAAACAGCTCATTCTGTACTTCTAAAAGTTGATTTACTTTTTATTTACCTGATCTCCACTTGGAAAATAGCGAACAAAAATTCCCAAAATTGTTCCTATCAGCACACCAATAAGTACATTCCGAAAAGAGATTGCAACAGTATTAAGTATACCACCTATAAGGGCACACATAAGGAAAACATTTTATAGAGAAGTATGTTTACATACTCAACACATCAGAAAATCAAACCTTGGTGATTCATGGAAAAAGGTATTATTTTATAGAAAAAATACACAAAAATGAACCGTTAATATTAACAAATGTAAAAACATATGCAGATCTATTTGTTTTTAAAAGATTTTTAGAGAGGGGGAAGGGAAGGAGAAAGAGAGGCAGAAAAACATAGTTGTGAGAGAGAAACATCAATTGGTTGCCTGTCACATATGCCCTGACCAGGGACTGAACCCAGTGTGCCCTGACTAAGAATCGAACCCATGAACTTTTGCTTTCCAGGACTATACTCAACCAACTGAGAGACACTGATTAGGGCTATGCAGATCTATTTGATAACTTACATATGTACTCTTAAGTAATTTAATATATACAGTCTACTGAAAAATGTTTATGGAATCAGTAAGCGTAATAAGTTACAATGTGCTCCCCTTACACATTTTACCTAAGAGATCAGGTGAGGTAGCTAAGAATGGACAGAGACTGACAAAGAGGCACTCTAGAACCTAGCACAAGGCTGGTAATGTTTATTCTGTGATGTACTATATGGCAAAGAAAAAAATGATTTAAATATTTAAAAAAATTTAATAACAACATAAAAAAAGATTGATTTCAGGGTTAATCTGGGATTATTCAAGGGTCAACTGAGTTTTCAATATATTTTATGCTACTTAAAATATCTGTACTTAATAAGTTTTAAAAAATGATGCTGGGTCACAGAAAGTTCAGTTATGCTTTGTGTGTTTAACTCAGTAATGTATCTAACTCTATCTAAAGAATTGGAGAATGAAAACAGCAAGATGGTGGAATAGAAAGCCCTAGAATTTCAACCCCTCACAGAGACAACAACTTAACAACAATATATAGTCCAAAAGCCTTTAGGAAATTCTACAAGTCAGTTAAGAAGCTGTAGCAAATGAAGCAACTTATTATGTATATCAAGGGAGCTCCCATTAGATTATCAGAGGCTTTCACAACAGAAACCTTATAGGCCAGAAGGAGGTAGGATTAAATATTCAAAGTGTTGAAAGAAAAGGAAATTGCTAACTAAGAATACTATTCCACAAAATTGTCATCAATGATGAAGGAGAAATTAAGAGTACCCCAGATAAACAAAAGCTAAGATAAGGAAGTTTATTAATGCTATACCTGCCTTAAGAAGAATAAGAAGGAGAAGAAGGGGTGTGGAGGGGAGGCTTCCTTCTTCAAGTGGAAATAAAAGGACATTATATAGCAACACAAAAGTACACAAATATAAAACTATAAACCTCTGCTAAAGGCACATATATAGATGAATTAAAATCCTGTATACTGGAATGGTGGTGAGTTCACTTTTCATTCTATTATAGAATTTACGATAAAAGCATACAAATAACAATAACTATAAACTAAGTTTAAGGATGATATATAATATATAAAAAGATGAAATTTGATATCTTAGTAACAAACTAGAGAGGGCAAGATGTGAAGGAGTAGAGTTTCTGTGTGTGACTGTTATCACTTTAAAATAGACCCTTATAACTACAAGGATGGAAAAAAGCCATTCCATGTAAATGGAAACCAAAAGAGAGCAACGGTGGTCATACTCATATCAGACAAAATAGACTTCAAGTCAAATACTGTCAAAAGAGATACAGAAGGGCTTCTGGCCAAGACGGAGGTATAGGTAGATACATTTCACTTCCTTGCACAATCAAAAGAAGGATAACAATCAATTTAAAAACAAAAAAACAATCAGAACTGCCAGAAAATCAAACTGTAGGGAAGTCTGACAACCAAGGAGTTAAAGAAGAAACATTCATCCAGACTGGTAGGAGGGGTGGAGATGGGAAGATGGGGCAGCAAGGATGTGTGACACTGCAGGGGCTGGTAGACTGGGCAGGCAACGTGGCAGCAGGTGGACTGAGATATCTCCATTTGAATGTGGATAAACTAGGAGGAACAACTGAGGAGCGAGACAGACCTTGAAACCCACGGTTCCAGTGCAGGGGGAACAAAAGTCCTGAAACCTCTGGCTATAAAAATCTGTGGGGGTTGCAGCAGCAGGAGAACTCCCAGCCTCACATGAGATGTCGTTGGAGAGACCCACGGTTCCTAGAGCATCCACAAGCCCACCCACCTGTGAATCAGCACCTGAAAGGGCACAATCCATTTGTGGGATGTGAGGGAAGTGATTAAAAGCAGAGCAAAAGCCTAGCAAGTGTCATTGTTTCCTCTCTGACCCCTCCTCCACATACAGCACCACAACACAGTGAAGTGGGCTGTCCCACGCTGGTGAATACCTAAGGCTCCACCCCTTACAAAATAACAGGTGCACCAAGACAAAGAAATATGGCTCAAATGAAAGAACAGATCAAAGCTCCAAAAATAGAACTAAGCGACGAGGAGATAGCCAACCCATCAGGCGCAGAGTTCAAACACTGGTAATCAGAATGCTCACAGAAATGATTGAGTACAGCTGCAAAATAAAGGAAGAAGTGAAGGCTATAGAGAGTGAAATAAAAATATACATGGAACCAACAGTGAAGGGAAGGAAACTGGGACTCAAATAAACTTTCAACCAGAACAGAATGAAGAAACAAGAATTCAAAAAAAGTGAGGAGAACCGTAGGAACCTCTGGGGAACCTTTAAACATTCCAAGATCTGAAGGATAGGGGTGCCAGAAGGAGAAGAGGAAGAACAAGAGATTGAAAACTTATTTCAACAAATAATGAAAGAGAACTGCCCCAGTCTGAAGGAAATAGACTTCCAGGAGATCCAGGAAGCTCAGAGAACCCCAAAGAAGTTGGACCCAAGGAAGCACACACCAAGGCACATGTATCTTGCTGCTTTTAAGATTCTCTCCTTATCTTTAATCTTGGGGAATGTAATGCAAGATTAAAGATAAGGAGAGAATCTTAAAAGCAGCAAGAGAAAAGGAGACGGTTACCTACAGAGGAGTTCCCATAAGACTATCAGCTGATTTCTCAAAGGAAACCTTGCAGGCAAGAAGGGGCTGGAAAGAAGTATTCACAGTCATGAAAGACAAGGATCTCCATGAAAGATTACTCTATCCAGCAAAGCTATCATTTAGAATGGAAGGGCAGATAAAGTGCTTTCCAGATAAGGTAAAGTGAAAGGAATTCATCATCACCAAGCCCTTATTATATGAAATGTTAAAGGGACTTATCTAAGAGACAGAAAAAGATCAAAACTATGAACAGTAAAATGACAACAAAGAACTATCAACAACTGAACCTAAAAACAAAACAAAAACAAAAACAAACTAAGTAAACAACTAGAACAGAAACAGAATCACAGAAATGGAGATCACTTGGAGGGCTATCAGTGGGGAGTGGGAAGGGAAGAATAGAGGAAAAAGGTACAGGGACTAAGAATCATAATTGGTAGTCACAAAATAGACAGGAGGAGGTTAAGAATAGTGTAGGAAGTGGAGAAGCCAAAGAACTTATATGTATGACCCATAGACGTGAACTAAGGGAGGTGAGGAATGATGGAAGGAAGGGGCATACAAGTCAGAGGGGGAAAAAGGGAAGAAAAAAATGAGACAATTGTAATAGCATAATCAATAAAATATACTTTAAAAAAAGATACAGAGGGACCTTTTATAATGTTAAAAGGACCAATTGACCAAGAAGATAAGGTTAGATCTAGATATCTACTATATTCCAAAATATTTGGGCATTGAAAATCTAATGTATAAAATACTGGGTTAGCCAAAAACTATGTATAGTATGTCTATCATAAAATAAAAGACTCATTTTTCATTTTCACCAGTAACTTTATTGATTTGGGTATTTTGACTATATCGGCTATCTCCTGTATAACTTGATTGTTCTCAATTAATGTCTCAATTTGGTTGCTATCAACTTCAACTGGTCTACCTGACCATGAAGCATCATCCAATGAGAAATCTCCAGCATGAAAGTTTGCAAACCACTTTCGACACATTCAGTCACAGCACTTTCTCCATATACTGCACAAATCTTTTTCTGTGTGTGTTTCAGTTGCGTTTTTACTATTCTTGAAATAATAAAGCATAATATGCCAAAATGTTGCATATTTTCTTCCATCTTCAATATTAAAATGGCTACGCAAAAATTCACCAATTTTGGTGCTTTAAAAAAAATTGCACACTGACATGACAGCTGTCAAAATACAATCTAACAAAATTGTTTGAATGATGTTAAAGTCAACTAAGTCGTACTACAGCCATCTTACAGAAAAAACCAAACGAACTTTTTGGCCAACCCAGTAAAACCTTTAGAGTTCTTAATATTTTAAGTGACAGTGTACATAGTCATGTGATAAAGAGGATTTTTAAAGCATATAAATTCTTGGTTTTTCACTTTTTATGTCCTCCTCAAATTAGGTTTGGTTTCTTGTAGCATCTTCCTATAGCACCTAATACTCATCACATTTGTTTAGTATAAACTTCTTGAAAACATGAGCCACATGGTGTTTTCTGTCTGCTGTGTTGAAAGGAAGTATAGAATAGTATTTAAAAGTGTGTGTCTGGGCCAGATTTGTATCTTGGCTCCCCTACTTATTGGATTTGTGACTTTGGATCAAGTTACTTAACATCTGTTCCTCAGTTTCCTTATCTTTAAAATGAACACAGCAGTACTGTGACCATTAAATTAGTAGAAACATTTATGAAACTTAGAACAAGTACCAAGCAATTGCTCAATAATACTGTTGCTCACTGTTTATCCTCAGTGTTTGCCACAGTGGCTGGCACAATGAAAGAGGAGCACAAATTTTGAAATTATAACAGATACCAGAAATGAAGAAAATATTACCACATTTGTTGATAAAAAATTTAGAACTTGCTCTGACTGGTGTGGCTCAATATGTTGGGCATTGTCATGCAAACCTAAAGGTCACTGGTTTGATACCTGTCAGGGCACATACTTGGTTTCTGGGTCCGGCCCCTTGTTGAAATGTGTACGAGAGGCAACTGATGGATGTGTCTCTCACACATTGATGTTTTTCTTCCTGTCTTTCTCCCTTTCTTTCTCCCTCTCTTCTCCTCTCTCTAAAATAAATAAAACCTTTAAAAAATTTAGAGCTTCTGAATAACAAAAAAGAATTCTTATAAAGTTAAAAGTCAGATTAAAAGTGGGAAAAACTGCCCTGGTTGGGAGGCTTAGTTGGTTAGAGCATTGTCCTGTACACTGAAGGGTTGCAGGTTCAGTCTCCAGTTGGAGCGTGTACGGGAGACAACTGATCAATATTTCTCTCTCACATCAGTGTTTCTCTCTTTCTCTCTCCATTCCTCTCTCTCTAAAATCAATAACCATGTTCTCAGGTGAGGATTAAAAAATGGGGAAAACTAAAAAATATAAAACAAAGGGTTATCATTCTTAATTTTGTGAAGAATCTTGACCAAAGAGAACAAAAGGACACACATATAAGGCAAACGATTTCAAGAAAAATAATTTATAAGACGTACTAAAATGTCAATGACTAATAAACACAAACATTTGTTTAATATCATTAGTAGTGAAAGGACTTCATGTAAAGAGACCTCATTTTTCACCTACCAAATTAGCAAAGGTAAAAAAAGACAATACTTGATTTAGAAAAGGGTGAAGAGAAAGTGGCAAGCTTGTGCACCATAGTACGACATACTATTGTGGCAATATATTTCAAAAGCTTATGAGTTTATATACTTTTTAGCTCAACAATCATACTTTTAAGATTAATAAAATATTAAATTTATGTACAACTATTTTGCTATAAGCTGTTCAATCAAGTATTTTTGTAATGAAAATACTGGAGTCAACTTCAGTTTCAAAAAGTAATTATGATGCAGCCAGTTTAATTCTATGCAACCATTAAAATATCATAGAAATATACTTACTGAACAGAATATGTTTGCAATATATAGTTAAATGCAAAATAACTCAGGTTATAAGCAAGTGTGGTCAATGTTCAATAATTTTATAAGACTATTGGGAACAGAAAGAAGAGAAAGAGAGAGAGTGAGTTTGGATGGACTTACATGAAAAGATTCAGAAATATTATTCCTGGGATATGATTATTGCAGACTTTATTTTTCCTTTTTCCCTTTTTAAACATTTGTATGTTAGGATTTCAAGTGAAACTTTATATATTATTTTTAACTTGAAATATTTTGGTGCTTCAGTAACACAGAAAACTGAATTTCAAACATTGCAGATAACTAAAGCATTACTAAATGTGGAAATTTTTACTCTCAGTCTCTGTAGAGTAACGTTCAAAACCAAATATCACCTTTAGGGGAAGACGAGATCACATGTGCATGGGCCTGGAAGCAAAGGTGTGTGGTAAAAGTTTAACAACTGCCTTTCTGGGGTTAGGCCAGAGTGCTCTCATTTGTAGATTTTGCCAGTTTTCTAGATATAAATACTCCTACCACGGCAGACTTTAAGATACCAACATGACATCTGAGGACAAAAAAAGGGCCACATACTAAATGAGACAAGCTCAGGGGAGTCCTGCGTGGTGGCCTCACAAGCTCAGAGACCTAAAGCAACCACATAGGATGGTTAAAACTTTCTAACTAAAAGCAAGTCTTAGCAGGTAGTCATACCCCAGGTCAGTATCTTCCTCGACAAAGGTCAATCTTAGTGAACCTGTCTATTCTCTTTTTGCATCTAAGATAACATAACTGTAAAATGGCAAAGTAATCTCCGTTTTTCCAGACCAATCGAGGCACAGCCTTTCACTAGAGCACGAGACCCCAGGCTCCCTCATTGTTATCTAGTTGCCCAAATATCATCTCTGTGTTTGTAAATGTTAATTGTTAACTGTCCTATACCTATCAATGTAAAAGAAGTATGTATCTCTCCATTTTACTTTTTATCCAATCTTATTATACATACTTTGCTTTCTCCTGCCTCTCTAATCTACCACCGGTAGATTTCATGTAATCATTTTAGGTCTCCTCTTTGGATTAAAATGTGTAAAATAAACTGCGAAACTGTCATTTTTGAGCACATTTTCTCAATCCATTGAGATTTTGCTTCTCTGCAAAATTGTCATCAGTTTGGCTCAAATAAACTCATAAAAATTTTCAAAAGAAATATTACCTTGGGATTCAGAATTGGTGTAGGGTCCTGTTTCAGCATCACTACCAAAAGGCACACAGCTGTCCCCACTCTATATGTTTAAGTTGTCTTAATAATAAAGCAACCACTTATTTACAATGATGACAAAAAGGTACATTTCAAAAATATCTATTGAATGTATTAGTAGTACTAATATTGCTGCTTAAAATTTTCTCTTGAAAACTGTGATAAAATTCCAAAGCAACATGAGCAGATAAATGGTAATAAATTGGCTCTAAAATTAATTGAAATACTTGGTTATTAAAATGAATTCACTTGTGTTAAGTAGTGGTTTCTTAACCCATTGACCTTTCCCTCCTGGTCTATAATGAGCTTTTTATGAAGAATAAAAAGACGTTAAATGTAAAAAAGTCTTGGTTAATAAATGAAGGAAAGTTAAAAACCTTACTTAAAGAACTAAGAACAATAGCAACAAAAAAAGCTATAAATTATGTGGCAGGGGCTATATTTTCTTCTTTACCTGTGGCAAAGACTATGCTCATACATGTACTGAATCCAGTGATAGCCAGAATATCATCCAAACTGCTAGCAGCTGTTAGTAAGGTTGGAATGCCTTTCTCAATACCATACCCATTTTCTTGCAAGAGTAGCATGGAAGGGACGACTATAGCAGGAGAGACAGCACCTAGTACAAAACTGAGAGAAAGACTTTGAAAATCAATTTTACAACATCCATGTAACCAAATAACTAAATTTTTTAAATTAAAACTTACAGCAAATATATTAATCTTTACAACAACTTCAAGTGTGAAAATTCTGTTTTTGAGTGAATGTTATTTAATGGTGGTAAAATTGCCTTCTCGCCTGGCCCCGAGCAACTATTATGCTATTTTCTGTTACCATGATTTTAATTACTCCAAATATACCACTAAAATAATATAGTATTTGTCTTGGCTTATTTCACTCAGCATAATGTCATCAGGGTTCATCCATGTTGCAGAATGTGAAAAGATTTCTTTTATTACAACTGAATAATATCCCATTGTATGTATGTACCACACATTCTTCATTCATCTGCCAATGGATATTTGGCCTGTTTTCACCTTTTGGCCATCCTGAATAATGTTGCAATATCTCTTTGAGATTCTGCTTTCAATTCTTTTGGATATATACCCAGTAGTAAGATTACTGATTTTATTGTACTTTTGTTTTTTTGAGGAACTTCTAAACTGTTTTCCAAATTTTATTCTTTACAGCAATGTGCAAGGGTTCCAATTTCTCCACATCTGTGTCAACAATTATTTTCTGTTTTTTTTTAATAGTGACCAACATAGTTATATCTTATTATGGTTTTGATTTGCAGTTCTCTAATGATTACAAATATTGAGCACTTTCATACACTTGTCCATTTGTATATCTTCTTTGGAAAAATGTCTATTCAAGTTATTTGCCATTATTTAGTCAGGTATTTTTTTGTTGTTGAGTTGTAGGAATTCTTCATATGTTTTGAATATCGATTCCTTTTCAGATATATCTTTTGTAAGTATTTTCTCTCATTTTGTGTTTTGCTTTTTGTCTGTGTGTTTCACTTGCTATGGAGTTTTTAAGTTTTATGAAGCCCAATATATCTACAAGGGGGACCCCCAAAACTTTAATTATCTTCTGGAGGGCAGGCCCCTTGTAGTACAGGCTTCCCGCACTAAGTGAGTATTATAGGAGCCCATTTGTATTAGTGTACCAGCTGGTGGTATTGTGATAGGCTGTGCTCGACTTCAGTTTTTTTTAAAAAGACTCTTTTAATGCATTTGCTCATTTCATGATGGGTGATTTATGAGCACACCTGCCCACACTGCAATGAATGTTCAGTTGTTTTGACCAAAAATGGCGTGACCCTCATACCTCATCCTCCCTGTGGAAGAGATGAAACAAAAAAATGGCAGAAGCTCTACATGGCAAAATTGATGAGTTCAAAAAGTGTTTTGAGCAGTGGAAAAAAAGTCTCCATAGGTATATCTCATCAAACGAAGAGTACTTTGAAGGTGACTGAAGTTTGAACATGTAAGAATAAATACACAATTTTTTTATAAATCAATTCCTTTTTAGGGGGGCTCCTCCCTCGTATTTTTGCTTTGGTTGCCTCTGCTTTTGGTGTCATAGACAAGAAATCACTGCCAAATTCAATGTCATGACGCTTTTGCATGTGGTTTGTTGGATACAGTATTCTTGATTGGCAGTGTTTTCCCCCAGCATTTTGAATCATTCCAGTCCATTCTGGCCTACGAAATTTTTGCTAAGAAATCCAATCATTACCTCGTTGGGACTCTTGGCTTTTTCCTGTTGCTTTCAAGATTATTTCTGTGACTTTTGACAATTTGAGTATAGTGTGTCTCAGTGTATGTTTCTTTGGTTTTACTCAGGTGGTAGTTCTTAGAACTTCTTAAACTCAAAAGTCCATTTCATTTCTAAATTTGGTTCTGATTAATCCAATCTGTTACTAATCCTCTGTAGTCATTTTTTTCCCCAATTTTGTTATTGTATACTACAGTTCAGAATTTAATTTTTTTATAGTTTCTATTTTTTTGGTAATCTCATTTTGTTTATGCATGGTTTTCATTATTTCTTTTAGATGTCTGTGTTTTCTTTTAGTTCATTGAGCATTTTAATGATGTTACTTTGAATTATTTGTTGGGTAATTCACAGATTTCTTTTGTTTAAGATTTGGTTGCTGGAGTTTTTGTTGTTCCTTTGATTGAGCTGTAATTCCCTGCTTCTTCATATGCTTTGTTACTTTTTGTTCAAATTTGTGTATGTTTAAAAAATAGCTACCTCTCCCTGTCTTTATGGTCTGTATTCACTAGGGAGAAGCCTCCATCTATCAGCTCAGCTAGAGATTCTGGGGAACTCCAAACGTATCTAGGACATGTATTCTCTGGGCTTGGGTATGGTTTCTCCAGCTGAAGAATTTTGCCTTTTTCTACTCTGGAGCATTTCCAGGGGCCTATCTGTAGTACTGCAATATCTCTAGAGGTGTGATAACTGACAGGCCTCACTTATGTTTTCAGTGGACTTCAGGCATCTAAAGTTTGCTAGTCTTTTCCTGTCAGTGATCTGTGTAAGGGGAGACAGAAACCAGTGCCTGGGGCAGCCCCTCAATATCCAGAAATCAGTTGCATTTTTATATGCCAATTATAAACTAACAGAAAGGAAAATTTAAAAAAAATCCCACTTACAATTGGTTAAAAAGAATAAAATACTTAGGAATAAACCTAACCAAGGATGTAAAAAACTGTACCTGGAAAATTATAAGGCACTGAAGAAAGAAATAGAAAAAGATACAAATAAGTGGAAGTTCACTGATAGAAACAATTAAAATTATTAAAATGTCCATACTAGCCAAAGCAATCTATAGATTCAATGCAATTCCTATCAAGATTCCAATGATGTATTTCACAGAACTAGAACAAATATTTCAAAAGTTATATGAAACCACAAAGGGCCCCACATAGCAACAGTGATCCTGCAAAAGAAGAACAAAGTTGGAGGATTCATGCTACCTAATATCAAACTATACTATAAGGGCATAGTGACCAAAACAGCATGGTACTGGCATAAAAACAGACACATAGATAAATGGAAGAGAACAGAGATAAATCCATACCTTTATAGTCAATTAATATTTTACAGAGGAAGCAAGCACATACAATAAGCTAAAGATAGTTTATTCAATAAATGGTGTTGGGAAAATTGGTCAGATATGTGCAGAAAAATGAAGCTAGAACACCTTCTTATACCACATACAAAACTAAATTATCAAAGACTTAAATGTTAGACTTGAAACTATAAAAATCATAGAAGAAAACATAGGCAGCAAAATATTAGACATTGCTCATAGCAATATTTTATCAGATATATCTCTCCAGGCAAGGAAAACTAAAGAAAAAATAAACAAATTAGCACTATATCAAACTAAAAAGTTTTTGCACAGCAAAGGAAACATCAACAAAATAAAAATACAACACACAGAATGGGAGAATGTATTTGCTGATAAACCTGATAAGGGGTTAATATCCAAAATTTATAAAGAACTTACAAAACTCAACACCAAACAACCCAATTTAAAAATGAGCAAAAGACCTGAACAGACACTTCTCCAAATAGGATGTAAAAATGGACAATAGACATATGAAAAGATGCCTAACATCACTAAGCATCAGAGAAATGCCAATAAAAACCACAATGAGATACCATCTCACACCTGTCAGAATGGCTGTCATCAATAAATCAACAAACAAGTGCTGGTAAGGATGTGGAGAGGGGGCGACACTTTTGCACTGTTGGTGGGAATGCAGGTTGGTGTAGCCACTGAGGAAAGCAGTATGGAGATACCTCAAAAAATTCAAAATACATCTGGCTTCTAACCCAGTGATTCCACTTCTTGGAATATATCCTAAGGAACCCAAAACACTAAGCAGAAAGAACATAAGCACCGTTATGTTCATTGCAGCATTATTTACAATAGTCAAGATATGGAAGCAGCCCAAGTGTCCATCAGTAGATGAGTGGATAAAACAACTATGGAACATTTACAGAATGGAATACTACCTGGCTGTAAAAAAGAAGAAAGTTTTACCCTTTGCGACAGTATGGATGGACCTGGAGAACATTATGTTAAGTGAAATAAGCCAGACAGAAAAAGACAAATATCACATGATTTCACCCATATGTAGAATCTAATGAACAAACTGAACTAACAAGCAAGATAGAGACAGAGTCATAGATAGAGAGCAGGATGACTGCTAAGAGGGGAGGGTATGGGGGAGGGGTTGAGCAAAAAGGGAAAAGGACTCATGGACATGGACAACAGTGTGGTGATTGCAAGGGGAAGGGGATGTAAGGGGACCAAACAGTAATAAATACAACAAAAATTATTTTAAAAAGAGCATGGCTCAAATGTAATATTGTTTATCCTGTGTATGAATTCAATAAATGTCCTTTTTTCCCCTCTCTCTCAAAAAAAAAAAATCAACTGACAACTTTATGGCAACTCCCTTTTGGGTAACTAATTGTTTCTCCTTTGCTGACTTTAATAGTCTTTCTTTGTCTTCAGAGGTAGCCACTTTAATTGTGAAGAGGCAGTGGACCTCTTTTGGTTCATCTTGATTAGGACTCTCCATGCTTCCTGAACTTGTATGATTTTTATCTGCACCAGGTTAGGGAAGTTTTCTGCCATGTTTCTTCAAACATGTTTTCTATACGTTGCTCCCTTTCTTCTCCATCTGGAATCCCTATGATGCAAATATTGTTATGTTTCATGTTGTCCCAAAGCTCCCTTAAACTATCCTTGTTCTTTTGAAGTCTTTCCTTTTTGTTCTCCTTACTGGCTAATTTTTTCCTGCCCTTCCAAATCACTGATTAGATCCTCTGCTTCACCTAGACTGCTTTTAATTCTTCCTAGTATATTCTTCATCTCAGATATTGAATTCTTCATTTCTAGCAGGTTCTTATTCATAGTTTCTATATCCTATTTCATGATTATGTAGTTCTCATTTAGTTCCTTGAACATCCTTATAAGCATTACTTTGAACTCTATGTCTGATAATTTGCTTACCTCAGTTTCATTCAGCTCTTTTTCTGGAGATTCCTCCTTTTCTTTCATTTGGAGGTTCTTTGTTTCCCCATTTCAGCTGTCTCTTTTT